TTCTGATAAACTTCTAACCCATAGTTTGAAAAGATTATCCATGGCATGATGGTTAATGCGCTCGACTCGCAATCTGCGGGTTACGAGTTCGAATCCCATCACCGAACTTCCTTGCCCTTTCAGCCGTGAGGGTATTATAATGTGGTGGTCAATCCTTTGGTGGGTGCTGTTGACTAGCTTCTTTCCTTATAATCTGTAAATTCTAAGTCATACTCCAGAGCAAATAGTACTAGAGTAGCTAAACTCGAAATTCCAAAAAGAAAAATTTAGCTAACTTTCAGTAAAATAAAATATCTTAAAAACATTTTGGTCACACTTAGGAGATAAAACAATATTGTTCTTTACAATTGCATGTAGGTCACATTTTCCTAAAAACTGTTTACCACCTGCAAGATTTTAAGTCACCCGCTGGTTTTCTCGCTGCACCTGCCGAGTATAATTATCAGGACTAAGAAACCAAAATTATTTTATCCTCTTTCAGCACTTCCTGGTGTTACCGACATCTTTAAGAACACGCCATCATGCTAGTTTGCATAACATCACTTTACATACGCTTGTTTGTACATAACTCCTGGCCCGTAAACGTGCTAATAAACATATTTGTAATTTAAATGTTGTAAAAAGATCACCACAAAGGCTGAGTCATTATCGAAACTAGTATTTATAGGGTTACTATAGTTGTGCCATATTCTGAACAGTAAGATAATATACAGGACCCAGCGCTTTTCTAGGAAACTTAAGCCTGCAAGCTATCGAAGACAGTTGCCACAGGTCAACCACTATTAGATAGGTCGATGCTCTAATTTCTTTCAAGTTAAAGCATCGAATCACACTTTTAAAAAACGTACCTTATAGATATTAGCTGTACTCAATATGGATCATCTTTTCGTCTCGTCTGAAATATGTTAATATATATCGAATTCGATTACAACGGAACAACATCGTTTAGACAATAATTAAAATAATAGCTTAACTGCAACTCCAAGGAACGAGAGTTGTTAATCATTTAGTTGCATTTTGAACCAGGAATAGTTTATTTAACTATTTTCAAATAACAAAGCCAGTCAGCATCCTATCTTTAGAAAGTCACCATATCGTACACAGAATTGTATTCGAATGTCAAAAAAAATAAATCAGGTGCTCTAAAAGTTCGGAATCAATTATAGGAAATAACTGAACCTTTGCATTAGAAATTTTATTTTAACCCTACCCCCCCCCCTTTAAGTGGAGTCAGTAAAGTGCCAAGGTGAGACACCGTAGTTAAACTTCTGTAAAAGGTGGGAGATGCCAAGGTTAAAAAACAACACTTTGGCTTTTCGAACCTCGAGACTTTCAAGGACGCCATTTTCTTTTTTCTCTTGCCAAATTTTCTACAGTTACTGTAGTAATGTATAATTCTAAGCACGTAGCCAAGTTCAATCATTATTAACAAACTTTGTTCATACCTTATCCTTCAATGAAGGATATTACTTAGGTTTAATTATAAGGAATTTTACTCGTGGTCTGTAACTGGAATTTAAAGTACGTAAAAACAGATGGAGTTTCAAAAAAAAAACAAAAAAACTGGAACTTTTGTGCTGTGTAATCTCTGAAAGGATAGAAGGCCAAAGAAATGCCACGGATTTTATAGTTCTCGGCTGCGAGCTGTTTGCTACGAGCATAAACAATAACCAAATTTGGTAAATTTATAGTTTCCATATGTCAACATTACTGGTTAATGAGAGTTAAATCTGTGCCACATTTTGAATTATCCGAGGTGGACAAAGGCAGACACTGCATGCTACGTACAGTACTGATACCAAAGTTACGTTTTAGTGCAAACACGTGTTCCGAAAAGCAAATGATTAACCAAAGTGGCTGATAGAACCAATTATTAACTATCAGTTTATTACTCTGAAAAAGCTTTTCTTTAGTTATTATTTACTATCAAAAATACACTAATTATACACAGATATTCTAAATATACAACGTTCAAACATGGGTATTTACTAAGCCAACTTTACATCACATATGCTCTCCGTTAAAGTCGGAGTTCAATACCTGTAATTAGGCCTCAAATTAGTCAAGAGATGACGGAGCTACGAGCTAATAGTTTGTACTTGAAAAACTTAGAGCCGTTCAATGAACCACTATGCCGCGGCTAAAAAACAGAACACGATCCTGTAAAAAAAGTCAAGATAAGGAATTATAGTAATTACAAGATCCCATATCTTGTATTAATGACCTAGATTTGTAACCTTTGAACAATCTCTATTGCCTTACGAAAACACCTTTATATTCCACGTGTAATTTTTTTTTTTTTTTTTTTTTTTACTCTGTATTTATTAGTCCTTTATAAACACAGACTTCCAAAATCCATAGCAATAGGAGTACATAATTTAAATAAAATTAAAAAAAAAGATACCACGCGCTGGGAAGTCATAACTTCTAAAGGGCGACGTTTTTCTTAAGTGGGTTGAAGTATCTGATTCTGTTATAACCTAGGGCGCGAGACATTTGCTGCTGCTATTAAAAGTTTGGGGCTCAACCTTACCAACAAAACCCTGCAAGTTTCCCAAGTAGTCGAACCCCACGGCGGCTTCAACGTTAGTCACTGTTTCGAGTCGCGTACCAATTATTTTAAACAGATCTTGTGCCCATATAAACACACGAGATTTACCATCTTTAATGTGCTACGTTTACATAAACACACGAGATTTACCATCTTTAATGTGCTACGTTTACATAAACACACGAGATTTACCATCTTTAATGTGC